TTATTATTATTGTTGTTGTTTTTATTTCTTTTCATATGTTTGTTTATACCAAAATGTATTTCTGTATTTATAACCTCAATTGTCATCATTACTATCATAACTACACTTCCTAGACAAAAGTATTTGATCACATGTTTACACTAATTAGTAAAAAACCTACATAACAACTAGAGTGACGACGAACGGCGACAACCACCACCATTCTTAAAACACTTACCCTGCAATCTCAAGAGTGAATTCTTGTTTTCTCTGCTTAACTTTTCTCTTCATTTTTATTATTGGCTTTTTTTTGTTGTAAAAGTAACAGACGCGAATTGATTTTTTTTTTTTGGAAAAACAATTTATTTTTTGACAGAGTCCATCCAAGGTGACAAAACGTGAGTGATGTTGTTTGGTTCTCCTAAAGAAGGCGTGTTAATAACTAACCAGAGGTACTATTTTTTGTATTGCTATATTTATTTTAGTTTATAAATATTTTAATTGGAATCAAAACGCGGAGCAGATCTTGTTGGGTAATTATAAGATTCTTATCAAGATGATAACAAATGAACAATTGGTACTTTGCTTTGCGTAATCGTAATAATAATATTATATTATTATATATATAATTATTACAAGATGATGTCAAGGCAGCACACTGTTGGATATAAATATTTCAAATATGAAACATTTTGATATGTGATGTTTGATTATCGGAAATTAGCAGACATTGAAGCACACACGCTACCTTGAACATTACAGTCATTCTCTCACCTTTCTCGTGTACACAAGGCTAATCTGACTAGTGTGCCCCAATGATACAATGATGCTGTTAAATTTTCAGGGGGGGGGACGTGGCTCTGGAGTTTACCAAGACTGCATCAATCGTCAATGACGTTTTCACTAATCTACCCAGACCAGAGAAGGCTGCTGCCACGTTAGCCAAAAAGTCGCCTCCAACGATCCTGCCTCTAGGGTAAGGATGGCTCTGTGACCAAGTCGCAACTCTGGAGGCTATTAAGAGAATCTGCAACTCATGGAGGTTCACAGTTCGGGGGCAGGGTTAGTGGCTCTGAAATTGCGTTTGGGCTCTGATGTTAGGAATGCTGTAAAATAAAATGGTTCAGTTTTTGTTTGATATGTTATATATAAATTAATCATTTTCATAAATTTTCTGCTTCTCTTTAATTTTTATCTGACCAACTGAACTTGTTATTTAAATCAACATTATCCTAGTGATAACACAAAGCAAACATCGCACAAGCACCAGCTATCAGTGATCAATGCCCATATGGTGACAGCCAGCTTGGTCTGAGGGGAAGATAAAGAAAAGTTTTGTCCAAAGCCTACCAACTTGTTCAAGTCACTTTCACCTGTGGAATAAATTCTATGGTGCTGAATTGTGCTTGATTGCATAGCGCTTGCTTGTTTGTGATAGGAAATTTTAATTAAATCTGACACCTATGATCAACATCAGATTTATTATTCATAAGGAACCATGATTGATAATCATGAAGATTAATTTATTATTGTGAATCCCAGAAATCTGGGTAGACAGGCATTATTAAAAATTTCATTCATGCATGCCTTGGTATTATTACTGCTTGGGTGATGCAATTGTTTGTTATCTCAATATTGAATAATAATCATGACCATCATGAATATTTGATGGATGGAGGCATTCACATACAGGGAAATGATTAAACAGCTAAGTCATGTTTGTTTTGTTTTATTAAAGATATATAATTAATTATATTTAAAAAATTATTATTTTATTTCACCTTTGTAATGGCATTAATTTCAATAATTCTGAAATTGTTTGTTTCTTAGTGTTAATGATTGAA